TAAGAATTCTGGTCCTAAATGCAAGTATTGATCATATTCCTCTAGGAAGTAACCTGAGATGGACCGGCATGTGTGCCAGTGACCTTTGTGCATATAGAGTCCTTGTGAGGGTTGAATTCCACCACTGGTGATGTACAGGTAACCTGCCACAAGTCTGCAGATGATACACATCTGCTAATTTCTGAAAAAACAGATGGCATTTACCACGGACTGAAAGATGTGAAAGTGCTACAAATCACTTCACACTTGAAAATATAAGCATCTCTGGCATTCACACTGAAATTAAATTAATTGTCTGAAATGAATTCAATTTGTTCATAGGCGTATGGGTAAAAGTACAAAGGACAGAACATTTACATATCATTCAACATACTGCACAAAGAACAAAGGCCATTTTATCAAAAACATCCCCCTGTAAAATCAGGGTGTCAGATTCTCCAGTGCTTCAGGAAAGCACCCTTTACTCATTACATTTGAGTGAGGATTTCAGAACATTTTACCTTGCCTCTGCCAAAAGTTTGGCAGTGCAGTTTACCACAGGAATACTTCTCTGTAATAAGATTAAAATATATTCAATGGGCATATTAAGTAAGAATGGGAAGTTCTCATAAACATAATCCTGCTGACTAAATCTAGAGGAGTGATACATATACTGCAATTATGTCTTGAATAGGGCATGTTTTGTATATCTGCCTAAATCTGAGTATGAAATCCAAGGTCTTTTGTATTTTAAAAAGTGACACTCACACTGTATAATGAGATTTCTTTCATTAAAAATCTGAAATATTCTGTATTTTTAAGCCTCTGTTTTCATAGACACTAGGATCCCCTCAATCCCATGTCCTCGCTCCCAAGCTAGTGGCAATTAGCCCAGTATTGCATGAATTAACCTTTGCAAGGCATGCATTTTTGCTTTTGTTTGTTCACTCATGTTCTCACATTTACTTTATTCCCTGCTGTGCTCTGGAAGAATCCCAGACACAGGAAAGAATAAAAGCATTTGGATTATTGAGGACATCTTTACACAGTGATACACTGCACAGTCCAGTCAGGCCCTGGAAGAGTCAGCAGGGTATAGAACACTCTGCCTTCTGGACTTTCAGTTTACTGCATATCAATAATATTCTTTTCTATTTAACAAGAATTTATTCTATTTTAATCCTATCCTGTTATTAAACAACATCTTTTAGTTACAGAAATGGTATGACTGAGACCCACTTGTATATAGGCATACGCACACCTAAAAACAATCTACTGTTCCCAATGCCATAAGATGTGACCTACTGATTTTCATATGTAACCTTTGTTTTTTCTTGTTATGTCCAGCTGCTTGTATTTAGCAGTTTAGTCTGTATGAACATAGAATTTTAGCTTGCTGTAGTGATATTTGTTTAAGCATATCATACTGAAAGAGAGGAATATAATCTTTAATTAATGAATTAATGTTTAATTATTAAACAATGGTTAATTATACTTTAAATGTAATAAAATCTCTAGCGAAACACTGGTAGGTCCCATTTCACAGTCATAAACTTAATTGGGGAACCTGAAGCTAATCAATACAAATAATGAAATGTGTTGGACAAAGCCCATGAAAAACATGCAAGAAATTCCATTTGATTGGCAGGATATTGATTTCTGCTGGATTTAAGATGCACAGCCATGCATGTAAAAGGTGTAACTCAAGTCCAATAAGAAGTGATGAAGTCACGGGGTAGTAAATTAACTCAGATTTGTAACCTCATAATCTTTCATTTTTGTATACATGAAAAAATCCAAAGGTGTCTTCCTGACACTATGACAAATGCTTTCTATGTTTTAATAAGTGAGATGTAGAGGTATTTGGTAGCTTGTTATTGAGTAATTCCATGCGTTTTCCTCTATCTGATGAAATAGGTGTGGATTAGTTTTTGATGTAAAATTAAAAAGTGTAAATAACTTCTAAAAAGTGCAATTTTGCAACTAGTATTTATTTTAGGATTAAACTAACTGACTTTTCTGTTACATATACAGGTCTTCACTTGAAGGCCCTTTGGCATTGCATTTGTAATATACAGGGCCAGTTATGTAATCTACGTTAAGTCCACTTCAAAGCTATTACTGTAGCATATAGTAATATAGCTATATTAATATAGCATAATACCTAACTATAAGTTAGGTATTATGTCTGTCTAATGTATGTATATATATGAACCAGATCCTGTGTCTATGATTTCAGGTTAACTAATACTTGCTAGTTCATCCGTAGTTGTGATAGTATTCTTAGGCTCAGAAACTCATTCTTTTGGGCAAACTTGCTTTTTCTTCATGCAGAATCTTTGCACATAAAAGCAACTGCCAGACTGAGTTTGCAAATTGTCATTAGGTGGACAGAGAAATTGTGGGATCTCCTATTTGTTTTAGATCTGACACACATCAAGAAAGACCTTAGATGGTTGCTTCTTAATTCAAATTATTTTGATTTAGAAATGCAGATATTAGAACTGTAGTAATCAAAAGATATCTAATGCCTGCTCACTTTTTCATCAGTTAAAAATTAAAATGTGCAAGCTCAATCCTTGAGTCACAGCTAGTTTCTTTCTTTTTTTTTCTT